ATTCAACTATATCGTTATAAATCATTTAATTTTCTTGTTCAACTTATTTTCAACTTGATCTTTTAATATATTCTTCTTCCTGCATAAGGGACAGTGGGTTATGAAAAATACGGCACTTATTTTTCTCCATAGAATGATCACTTTAATTCATTTTTCCTCTATTTTTATTGCTTCCACATTTTTTACTCTCAAATGAGTGTATTAAAAATAAAAACAATGGGCCGAAGTAATAGTAGAATGAGTAGGATGCTTGCTGCCAACCCAGGTTTGATTCCAGGAACCCCATGGGGTACACTGAGCATGGTCGTGAGTCATTTTTGAGCACAGAGCCAGGAGTAAGCCCTAATCCACTCTGAGTGTGACCCAAAAAACAAACAAAAAGTTAAAAATAAAAAGGATTCCATATTATGGTTTGACATGAGATCTGTTAGACTGCAGACATTCAAAATAAAAATAAAATCAGAAGAATGCTAGTTTGAGTCCTGTTTAAAATGAAATAGCTAGAACCTTTACTTCTTCCAAATAATTACAGAGGTTTTTCTATTCATTTGTTTTCCCATTGTGGGAATTCACTTTGTGAATCTCAGCTTGTCATATTGACTTGAGTAGACCATGAACCAGTATTTCTTCTGAATAAATGGACCCCAGATTAAGTTAGTTCCGTTTAAGGGTATAAGAAAGGCACATGTGGCAGCATGAGCGATTAAACTCATCTTTACAGTTGTAAGGCAGTAGATCTATGCTACTGATCTATGCCCTGGCTCCAAAGTCTACTTTTTAATCCTATCATTTTTTATCTGTTTCTTAAAAAATCATTTCAGGATGGTCCGTGAACCCTCGCATTCTTATGTTAATTTTGTTGTTTAAGGAGGAGGTGGTTTTGTAACTTGAAAAGTGATTTTTTTTCCTACGTTGTTGGCTTCTGTAATTCTCTGTATTTGTGAACATTAGGATTGAACAGTTACTCAATGCGTGCCTACGAGAGAACTAGAAATATAAATGGACCCATAATAATTCTCCATTAAAATTTAATTATCATTTTGACCAATAAAGTGTGAAAACTTCATTGCTAAAAAATACTTTGCTGTTATAGGGCCAGTGTTATAATGAAGTACAGATAGGCTGACCTGGGTTCGATTCCCAGCAGGGAATGGTATGGTCAGGCACCATGGTATGGTCTCCTGAGCACCACTAGGAGAGATCCCTGAGCACAGAACCAGGAGTAAGCCCTCAGCACAGCTGGGTGTGGTTCCATAACAAACAAATGGAAATAAAGTACACCACTACCTGTATTTCCAAAAATTCTGTACTGAACACAGATTTGTGTGCTGTATTGAAAAAACTCACAAATTTAGCTGTGTTTAATGAAAATAGTTAACAGTAGTTGTAACGGATTTGTTAATCTTCTCTAGAAATGGCATATTGAGAATAGTATTTTTTCCCATGCTTTGTTTATAGTTGGTCTAAAAAATAATTTTAGTTTATAATGCATATTTTTGCCATGGAAGCTTGAGAATAATTTCCAAAGTCTAATTTCATTATCAACACATAAACACAGGTAAAGCCTAAATATATTAATAAGAATATAAAAATTTAGCTATTTTTTTCTTAAAATTTTATATTAAACTAAAAATAGTCTATAAACTATTATGTAACCTTCACATAGACAACACTGTTCTTCAGTAACTAGTCTAAGTTAATGGATGGAATAGAGGTCCTTTCTAACTTTAACAGTCTATACTGATTCCAATAGGAAAAAAAAAACTACTGGAATTCTACAAAAATATTTTAGAATAGGAGGGCATGCTTTTAAGCAGTGCATAGGTGTTGGCCAGACCATCCCCTCAGTATTTGGCACTGGCAGTAAAGGCTTGATGGTTTGGTGCAGAGTTCTGGCACTGCTCAGGGCCTGCTGGCAGTGCTATAACCAAATATCCTTTGTGGAGGGTCATATGTGTGTAGCAGTGAACTCAGGGCCTCTTGCATGGAGGTGTGTGCTTCTGTCCTATGAGCTCTCTTTGGGTCAGAAGTTGTTTTGTTTGGTTTAAATCACATTGCTCTTACATGAAATTTCTTATTATTTTTGCTTTTGAAGGTACCTGAAGTGATTCTTTCTTTTTTTCAATCTTGTTTTAAATTTTCTCTCTTTTAAAAATACTGTTATTCATCGCTGTGGTTTCAGTAAAGAAATTCTTTGGTTTTTTTCATTTTGATAAAGATGTGAAGAAATGAATGTTACACTGACTCATCAAAAATCAGATAGGTTATGACAGCTATTTGGTCACAGGGCTGTTTCTTATGACTCCTAATAAAGCTATCATTTTTTATAGACTTGATGTCTACTGTCACTATAGTAGCATACCCATCCTATGAGTGCCAGTGTGCTGAAAACATATCTTCAATTTTATCAGATGGCTTGTCAGACTTTAGGTAATTTTTCAAATGATAAAATATAAAGGTAATTGGTTTTTATATTAATAGCACCAAGAAGTCTTTTCTTGGCATACAATTTTCTTAACTAATTGCAAATTTTATATATTTCTTCATGTATTATATGTAAAATTTTAATTTTCATAATTTTGTTTTAGGGATAAAACTTAAATAGCTATAAATGATAATTATGTGAGATCTGGGTTTTGTTCCAAATCCTACCCCTTTGATACAGGGGTAGAAAATGGAGATGAAGTAAAAATGAAATAAGACAAATTCTGAGTTGATAAATTCAAGAAGCTAGAAAAGGCATCTCTAAGAACCCATTATCATTGTATTTGTGTGTATATTCTGAAAATATTTGTAATAAAATATAAAGTTAATGCTTTTTTGAGGGGGAATATTTTACTGTAACATCTGAACCTTCATAAAAATAAACATTGTTTATGGTGTTGAAAACAGGCCACATTTCTGCCAACTATCACGTCCCCAAAAATTGTTTAGTGTCATTAAATACAGGGCACAGTCTCCTAGCTGCTCAAGATGATGACTTTCGACTGAACTGGGTTACCTTTATTTTCCTATCTATTATAGTATCTTTGTCTCTACTATTATTTCATTCTCTCAAATCACCTTTAGGTATTATTGTTTTTTTTGGGGGGGGTGGTATACCTATACCTGGCTATGGTCGAGTCTTACTCCTGGCTCTGTATCAGGGATTACTCAGTGCTCAGGGAACCGTATGTGTTGCTGGGGATTGATCCCAGGCTGACCGTGTGCAAGGCGAGGATCCTATCTTCTGTTTTTTTTCTTTAGCCCATCGTCTTTTTTTATAATATTAACCATTTTGTAATAAATAAATGAATCACTGCCTAGCATTTCTATGATGGCACTTCTTCACACTGTTTTGTAATTACTTTTTACATGTTTGTATTTTTAAGCTTTATAGATACTAGTTAACTATTGCATTTCCCAGCGACCAGTACAATATCTGGCATGGAATGAATGCATTAATTAATCTATCTTTTTAAGTGGCATCCATGATTACGTGCCCCATTTTGGCTAATTCATTCTTCATGTAGTTTCTGGAAGGATTTTCTAAACAGTAAATGGGATCTTGTTTTGTCTGTCAGTCACGTTCCTAATCCAGGGCAAGAATTCAGACATTTTGAAGTCTTTGGCCTTTATTGTTTCTAGTCAGTTCTTGCTTCCTTCTTTAACTCTGTGCTTTTTTAACTCCACAGACTGCTTACACTACTTGTCTGTTTGTTTCGCTTCATTTTTCTTTTCTTTTCTGTTTTTTTAAGGGGGATAAAGTGGGGGGTACACCTTGTAACACTTGGGGAACCTTGTAGTTCTGTGGATCGAACCCAGGGCTCTCACACTTGGAAAGCATACACTCCAACTCTGGCTCATTCTTCTATCATAGCCCCCTTCTTCAAAGAATTTCTTCTTCCTGGGAATGTCCTCTCATCCATATTTTAATCATGTTGTTACTGGACCACCTACTTAGTCTGGAGACACTGGGATGTTCACCACATAAACCACTGAGGCTAGAAAAATCACAGCAAATGTTCAACACTCCTGCTCACCACACCCTTCCTTTCTCTCTACTCTTGATAATAGGTTGCTTTTTCTATCATTTCTTCTGTCTTGGGGCTGGAGCAATAGCACAGCTGTAGGGTGTTTGCCTTGCATGTGGTTGAGCAGGCTGCCCTGGGTTCAATTCATCTGCCCCTCTTGGAGAGCCCAGCAAGCTACCGAGAGTATCTTGCCCTCACAGAAAAAAGTCTGACAAGCTACCCGTGACGTGTTCGATATGCCAAACACAGTAACTAACAAGTCTCAAATGGAGACGTTACTGGGCCCGCTCTAGCAAATCGATGAACAATGGGAGGACAGTGCTACAGTGCTGTATAGAATAAATAAATAAATAAATAAATAAATATAGAATAAAGAATATTGACAATAACTGTTCCTACAGCAATTTTTCTTTACTTTTCATCGTGTCCTCTCTTTACCTGGTGAATCAAGGAACCCAGTATATATTTGCAAAATGAATAAATGAAAGATTTATTTGTTTTTTGCTTACCAGCACATACCAGACATCCTATTACATACTTACAAGTACGTCTAGAGGTTTTCTGTTACACCTGCACCTGTTTTGTCTCTATTTTGTCCACAGCAGGCCAAAGAAAAGCCTTTGCTTCAATCAGATAATTTTAAGCATGGAAAGTTGTAGGAAAAAAAAAACCTTGATATGAATCTAAGAGCCAAGGGAAGCGTGAAACTTTGTTCTTGGCTTTTCATAATTTCAAGATTTTTTTTGGTAGTAGGAATAATTCCAGTGGTAAACTTTATGAAGGCTTGGGGTAACAGCAGTGGAGATTGCTTCTGACAGCTGTTTCAAATTTCCAGCATCGATGAATCTTTAACCCCCATTATATACTTTTTTTAAAGTCTAAGTATTAAACAATATAAAAGGTTGGAGAACGAGATAGTATATTTTGTTAATTTGAACCTTGTAGCTCAAGGGTCTTAGAGCTTGAGTTTTTTGTTTTCCATTGCAGACATGTCTTCTCCCACTACGATGAAGAAGCCCGAAAAGCCATTGTTCAGCTCTACATCTCCACAGGATTCGTCCCCAAGACTGAGCACTTTCCCCCAGCACCACCATCCCGGAATACCTGGAGTTGCACACAGTGGTGAGAAGTTTCAAGCCGAGAGGAAAAACCTTCCTCTTATTAGAGGCCAATTAGGGATGGAGCAAAAGTTTATAGTGAGAGATGCACTGACCATATTTTCTCAGTGGAAGGAGAGATCACAAACTGAACAGTTTTTTCTTAATATCTGAGAAAAAAAATTCACAAAGCCATGAATTAATATCTAGTTGTATACTTTGTGAATTACCTCTATTGGAAAGGTTAGCATCATAAGAAATTGGAAATAACCTTATTTATAAGGTCCTATTATTGAATTAGAGAAAGATGGAATTTCATGTCTCTTTAAAGGCATTTTCATATACATTATTTTCTTTAAAAGATCAATATTAACTGCAACTTGCAACAAAATTATTGAGAAAAATATTAGGAGATACTTTTCTTGAACAATATTTTTTATCCCCCAAGTTTTTCTATATGCTAATATACATCAATAATTTTATATTAGTATTTTAAGAAACAATAGTAAATACTCTTTCAATAATTAAAGATTAGAGACTGGAAATGCTTCAACAGTAGTTTTAGGACTGGGTTTTATTCCTGCCACCTGAAAAATAAAAATTCGATATATTCTATTATTAATATTTCCCATTTTCTACCTATAACTGTGGAATATTAGAGGGGAAGAGAATGAATTTAGGTGACAAAGTTTTATATACAAATATGTTTATAGTGATTATTTTATTGCTTTAGGCTTATGTTTAGTCAGTTCGTTAACCTTCAGCTGAATTATATATTGCTTTAAATCTTCATTCAAAATAGATATAATCTTTCAAAATTAAGTACTTAGCTTCGGTCATATATATATGGTCACTATACTTTTAAAAATGCATGGCCTTCATTGCTATAGTTAAGGATTTGTAGGCTAAAGAGAAAACTATACAAACTAAATGTATGTCAGAATTTTTACATTTGTTGTTTGCGTTACCAAGATGGGTAAAAAATATAGCAGTTATTAATTTGTTATGTTGATGACTGGGCGAATGAACTTATAAGTCAAGTAATGTATTCCTCTAATTATTCAGATTTCCAACATTTTCAAAAAGTTACACAGTACATTTTGATATAATGAAACCTGAGAGCCCTAGATGATCCTTCCACGAGCACCTTTACTTTCACCTGACATTTGGTCGATACATAATTAGCTCCAGTACATGGAGGACAGTGTCTGTCCTGAACTCATGGTTCAGTAGGAAAAGAAGCTGGCCACGGCACTGGATAGGCATCAGATCTAGCCACTTGAAGGAAGTTAGATGCCTGGAAAGTGAAGTCTGAACTAGAGTTTGGTGATGCATAAGAAGGAATAAAAAGTCAGAGGAAGATTCAATCGGTAGAGCAAAAAGCATGTATCAGTTGCAGGAAGGGCCATTTCAGTAAGGAATTGCAAGCTGCCTAAATGCCCACAAATACCTTTAGCGTGTTCAGAGAATAGACTTCTACTCTTAGTAGGAGGAAGTCAGAGATGAGGCCACGAAATGATTCCAGGACTGGTCTCCAAAGAACTTATGTACCTTATAAACTGATGAAGCTGTTGAGATGTTATTCTAGAAGAAATAGAAAAAGCACTGGGAGATGTTTTCGCAGAGAAGCTACATGACTAAAACACTTTTTTAAAAAAGAGTCATATATTTGGATCTTATAAAGGAGTATAACTGAAAGACAATTAGGAAGACTTGGCAATAATCTAGGCCAGAAATACATACTTATTCATATATTAGATGTATATTTTTTCTTAATGAAGGAAAACACATTGCCTTGTATAACTTTTTTTTTAATCTCTTCTGCCTTTTTGGTGGGGAGGCATACCTGGTGGTGCATATTACACTGCTGGTTCTATAGTAAGAGAACACATCTAGTGTTGCACATTGTCATGACCATAGCTGCTTACAGAGATTAAAGACCTTAATCTCTGTATTAAATCTTATGTCTTCCTTCCTTCCTTCCTTCCTTCCTTCCTTCCTTCCTTCCTTCCTTCCTTCCTTCCTTCCTTCCTTCTTTCCTTCCTTCCTTCCTTCCTCCCTCCCTTCTTCCCTCCCTCCCTCCCTCCCTCCCTCCCTCCCTCCCTCCCTCCCTCCTTCCCTCCCTCCTTTTCTTTCTTTTTTCCTTCTGTCCTTTCTTTTTTTCATTCTTTCTTTTCTTTTTCTCTTTTCTCTCTTTCTTTCCTTTTTTCTTTTTGCCCTCCCTCCCTCCTTTCCTCCCTTCCTTCCTCCCTTCCTTCCTTTTCTCCTTCCTTCCTTCCTTCCTTCCTTCCTTCCTTCCTTCCTTCCTTCCTTTTATTCTTTCTTTTTTCTTTCTCTTTTTTCTTTCTTTCCTTGTCTTCATCGCTTTTGCCCTCCCTCTCTTCCTTCCTTTTCTTTCTTCCTTTCTTCAGTCCTTTCTTTCTTTTGTTCTTTCTTTTCTCTTTCTCTTTTCTCTCTTTCCTTTTCTTCCTCTCTTTTGCCCTTCCTTTTCCTTCCTTCCTTCCTTCCTTCCTTCCTTCCTTCCTTCCTTCCTTCCTTCCTTCTTCCTTCCGTTCTTTCATTCTTCTCTTTTCTCTTTTTCTTTTCTCTCTTTCTTCCCTTTTCTTTCTCTTCTGCCCTTCCTTCCTTCCTTCCTTCCTTCCTTCCTTCCTTCCTTCCTTCCTTCCTTCGTTCCTTCCTTCGTTCCTTCCTTCTTTCCTTCCTTCCTTTTCTCTTTCTCTTTTCTCTCTCTTTCCTTTTCTTCCTCCCTTTTGCCCTCCCTTCCTTCCTTTTCTTTCTTTCTTCCTTCCTTCAGTTCTTTCTTTCATTCTTTCTTTTCTCTTTCTCTTTTCTCTTTCTTTCCTTTTCTTCCTCTCTTTTGCCCTTCCTTCCTTCCTTCCTTCCTTCCTTCCTTCCTTCCTTCCTTCCTTCCTTCCTTCCTTCTGTTCTTTCTTTCATTCTTCTCTTTTCTCTCTTTCGTCCCTTTTCTTCCCCTCTTTTGCCCTTCCTTCCTGCCTTCCTGCCTGCCTTCCTCTCTCTCTTTTAATTTACTCATTCTATTAGAAATTCTCTATTAACTAAATTGACTTTCCAAACTTAGTTATCAGATGTAAGGAGTTGTTTCTATTAAAAACAACAGTTACAACAGCTTTTCTCCCTTTCCTATCCCTGGTACCCCATATGTCCTCTGCACCTCCGGTGTACTGTCTGGAGTGATCCCTGAATTTAGAGCCAGGAGTAAGGTCTAAGAATAGCCTTAGTGCCCCCCACACCAAAAGTAACCCAAAAAAGTGTTTTTTGATGTCTTTCCAAGAAGGGTCTCAGGCAGTTGGTCTATGGTAGGCTCAGAAATCTGCACTGTAACAACAATCTAGAGGATTTAAGTAACCCGGACATATAATGAGCAAAGTTGTGACCCTAAAATTAAGTTTATGACTCTTCCAATACATTCCTTCATTCCTTATTTCTTGTATGTTCTGGGATGATTTTCTTTCATGAAGATAAGAAATCCCATCCAAAGAAAAAGATTTTTTGTTAAAAATCATGTTTTTTTTCGTGTGGACTTAATTGCAGAGTTGGAGATAAGTCATTCCAGATGATTTTCACTTGTAGATCATGGAAAGAATTTTTCTTTCATATTGTTTGCTATGCTGCCTCATAAAACATTACATTTATCATTTGTAATTTTATATGATTTGGATCAAATATTAACTAGAAACAGACATTTATCTCCCCTTCTACATATACTGATTGGTAATTTTAATTTGTATTTATGTGATTATTTCCTTCAGCATTATAGTGATAAACATCTTGTAATTATACTCTTACCCACTTTTCAAAGTCAAGAGTTATATTTCAAAAGCTAAACAATAAATTATGATCAGACTAATCAAAAGTTGTAATACCCTTAATCGCTTTCCACATTGCATGTGCTCTGTATATTATTTTTCTTTATAAAAATATATGTCTTATGGGAAATGATATGCCTATACAAAAGTTTAAATTCACATTTCTGTGCATTTTATTCTTAGTCTTAATAAGTGTGCTTTAAGTTACATGTAGTAAAAGGGTAGGAAAAATTACTTATAGCATAGAATTAGTTTGGTTTTGAAAGGAATATTTTCATTAGGAAAAAGGGTTTCAGGGTCCCTATGCTCAAATGTTCCTAAACATTTATACAATGATTGAGACATGCTTATTTACTAATTATTGCCTCCCTTTCTAATCAACTTCCAGGTAGGAAATATAGAAAATACTTGTCTAAAATTGGATTATACTTCTGTTTTGAATTTTGGCAGAAAATATTTTGGTTTCCTTCCTGCTAATTAATGCTGTGATTTAGTCTGCACCTAGAGGACAGTCTTTCTAATCAGAGAAGTGTTCTCCTAGGAAATAACTATGCTTCAAGAGAGGTTTATGGAGTTTCATCTTACCATATAAAAGAGAAATTTCTTTTTTTAAATACCATGATCTAAAAAGCAAGATTATCAGAGTAGAGATTGTGTCTGTGTGTAGCTCACAGCACTGGCACTGAGAATAAGAGGGAACAAGGGAGCTGTTATATTAGAGAAGTTTGGTTAAGACATGGGGAAAGACAAATCATTACCAGTTCAGTTTCTCCGCGTTGTTTAGATGTTTAGAGTGGGAGTGAGCAGTAAGAACAACATCATCCTGAGTCCCTTCTCTTCTCTGCCTTTTGCAGTCATCTCAACTCGAACTCCACCTCCACCCTCACCGTTGCCATTTCCAACACAAGCTATTCTTCCTCCAGCCCCGTCGAGCTACTTTTCTCATCCAACAATTAGATATCCTCCCCACCTGAATCCTCAGGATACTCTGAAGAACTACGTACCTTCTTATGATCCATCCAGTCCACAAACCAGCCAGGTAAACATGAGTGAAAATTAGATTAGAGCATAAGGGAGATGGAACAGGTCTAACTTACTCAGACTGTATGTCTGGCAGAACATCAAGCCTGTGAAATCCATCTTCAGGAAGTTTCTTGGTGACTCAATGCATTTTTTTTAAAGGTGGCTGAATGACAGGTAGGAAATGTTTTGCCCCAAAGGGGCACATTTGTGAAGATGCTTTTTGGTGTGGTGTTTTTAGATTTGCCTTGACTGAAGAGAAAGTTTATGCAGAAAGAACATTGACAAAATAGCTCTGAGCTGGGGTTCACACCTCTGAAATACCAGGTTTGACACTGACAAAGTGCTTATTTCAGGCAGGAACAAGGTATGTGCTAAAATAAACACACACAAAAGAACTTACAGTTGTATTTATAGATCAACTATTAGGTATTAAAATAAGCTTTGGCAATGTAAACATTTTCAGTGTTTGATGACTACTTGAATATTCTTTGCACAGACATGACTACATGTAATGAGTGACTTTAACAGGAGTGTCTCTCTCTCTCTCTTTTTTTTTTTGGTAAACATTGTATAGTGGTTTTAGGGATTCATTGTGTGAGTGTAGTGACTCATGTACTTTTCTGATTCCTTAACATGTGGTTTCTTCTGACTTTAAAAGGATCACCCACAGTTAAATATACAGTCTATCAATGTGTAGACCTTGATAAAAATGGGTCTATCAGTAATCATAAAATCCAAACTATGTAATGTAGTTTTAAGCTTAGGAGCTGGTATTTGCTTTGCTGCTTTACTTTTTACTTGCGATCTACTCCTTTTATTGCTTGAGGTGTTTTCATAAACATTATCTCATTTATCTAAGTTGTAAAATTGTTAGTAAATGATATGTGCACATTAATTTAAAATTAACAAAGAAAGGCCTGGAAAAAATCCCCTTTGTTTTTGTTTAATTATTAAAAGGAAGCAAAATGGTCCCTTTAGAGTGTTTTCCTTTGAATATATATGGTGCCATTTGGGTTATTTAAAAAAAACCTGTATTTTCAACTTGATTTGCTAATAAGACTTAAACTAAGTACACCACTCCACCATTCTTGAATTATGAGTATGAAGTTAACTATTGCATTTTAGAGTAAATGTTCAAGTGGTGTATCAGTTTTAATGATTAATAATAATAAATAAGGCAATGGGGCCTTAGTATATCATTTTGAAATAAAATTTGCTGTCAGAACATGGATTCAAAAGTCTTAGTTCCACAGAGCCTTTTGCTAGACTCAGCTGGGAACAGTGCACACAAGGTCTGATTTTAATTTGTGTAGAATTTCCATGAATAACAAAGTCTAATTAAGACATCCATTAAAAGTCCTTAACGTTAATTCAGTGTGGAAAATCTTAGAGTTCCATTGGTTTTTTTTTTTTTAACTGATGTCTTAATTAGGCACTGTTAGGGGGAAAATTATGCAAATTAAAATCAGGCCCTTAGTGTTATGCATTTCTTTAATTATTCAGGACTTGTTTTACGTATATTTCAATTTCTCTCTAAGTTAAGAGGGCATATTAGGTGATAATCTGCCTATATTGTTCTCAGTTTATGCATATTTTCAAGGTATAGATTCAGTTCTAAGAGAATCATCTTATTCTCATCTCAATTAAAAAAATAAATCCCCCTTTCTGGAGTTTGTATAATAGAACATTGTACTAAGTAGGATAATCCTTTCCTAATGCTATTCAACTTTATCTTCAGATAAGATGTCTCATTATTCATATCTATAGTATAAAAGTTTATCTGTTAACATCCTTCAAAGATAGAAGCTTCAGAGTGTAGCTTCGTTTGTTTGAATTGATAGAAAACTGGAAAGAAATAACCTCCAGTTCTTTTGACCCTGAGTTTTAGACAAGTTAAGGGTATTGACTTGGGAATTCTATATTACTCTTATTATTTTGAAGAAAGAGGAATGTTTGTGGGTTCATGTGAATTTAGTTCCACAAAACAAATCTTATAGCAGGAACATCAGCATTTCTCTGATACTGTTGTTGCTTTACTGTCAAACTTTTTATGAAAAAGCTACACAAAAATGCTACTTATCATCAGATATGCTACTAATGAAAAAATGAGGTATTTCACTGTCTTAAGTATTATACATACATAAATCAGACCTTTGCAGGGTTCAGATAACCAGAAGTTAAAGAACTTCTTTAGAAACAAACCACTTTTCCCTTCAAAAAGGAAGTCTTGATGATCAACTACGAAATTGCTTTTTTCGTATAAACTTTATGTCTGCTTTGATTTTCAACTCCAGCTCAAAACCAGTTAACTTGCATTTCAAAATAGGGTGCTGGATTTTCACCTTTTTAACTCTATAAATGGGGGAAAAGTTCTCATTCACCTGGAGTCAACCCGTTATTCCCAATCTCCTCCAGCATTGCACTGATTTTGATTGTTAAGTAAAGCAACTGAGATGCCTCGTCCTTCCCACAGCAATTTGAAGATTAATTGTATTGCTGCTATACTGATTAGAGTGAGACAGGCATGCTATTTAATGGAATACTTAAATAAAATTAGTGTCAAGATATAACCTTCTCATAGGTTTCCATGGGAAGGGGCATTCTATTCAGTTTTCTTGCCATAAAGCTAAATGCTTAAAATTATACTTGATGAATAGTCAGGATGTTCAAAAAGTCCAATTTCTTTGAAGAATATATAATGTGGTCTCTGAAGAAACCAGTCATAAACTGAGTTCATGTTTCTAATGGTATGTGTTACTAGCTATTCAACTTTTTCTCTACAGAAAAGAATACTTATGTTATTTATGTGCAGGAACTTAGGTTAATATTCTGTTTAATAATATACGTAAAAAAATTACCTATAATAATGCAGATTATAGTAGCTAAATAAGGACAATACCATCCTAGCAATTCAATATGTGCACTGTGCAGTGGAGAATTCCAACAGGAGTGTAATGAAAAATATTATTCTCTCTCTCTAGAAAACCAATTTAGATTATTCTAATTGTGCACTCTTAGGATTTTTGTCTCCTACCACAGATACCACAGGACTAAATCTTAGCTAATAATATCATCTCTATCATTACCTAGGGGATTTTCTCAGTTAGTTCCCACAAATGTCAACAATAAATGTTTTGTGTAACTCCCCACACAACAATGGAAATAACAAATTGTATTTGATTGCCCTCTGCTTCACTTTAGCACATTTTTATTTACTTTGGGAATCTTTTATTTGTAGGTTTTCAGGTAGACCTAGTGCAGCTTTTTATACCATCATGAGAATCTGAAATTACAGCTATATTAAATCTCATTCTATATGCTTGGCGTTAATAAATCATCAAACATTGAATGGATGGGAAGCAGGTGTATTTCAATGCTAAAGGATATGTTTTATGAGTGAGAGGCACTGGATTTAATTCATTGCACCTAAAAGGTTGAATGATGATCTTAAAATCTAAATTGCCTGATGTGTGTGTGTCTGAGAGTATCTGTGAGAGCTAGAGCTAGAATCTTTGACTACAGACCTGACTACAAAGAGTGGAAATTCTTGAGTATGATCTCCTAGATATCCTCCTCTTCTTGTGTCAGTGATAACATCTTTTATGTGAAAATTGTAATCTGAAACCTCAGGCTGATTCACTGTAGAAATGAAGAGTGGTGAGATAAACACTGGTTCTAATTTTCACTAGTTCAGAAAGGACTTCCATTTTAGCCTTGGGTTGACCGTTTCAATATCCACTTGAGTTCTCTGACTTCTAAATGAAAGGATCCTTCTACCTGCATCTCAGGGGGTGTTGTAAAGATGAATTCACCTGTGTTAAAGTGCTTTGAAAAGGAAGACTTTCTCCTAAATGCTGCTGCTGCTTGTTACTACTAACCAATCTTTGACTTCTCCACCTCACACCCGAGAAGCCTAGTGTGGGGAGTGTCCACTACCAGTTCACAGGGTACACTCGGTCAGGTGTGCTGAGTGGAGTTGTTGGACAAGATGACTGCTTTTGGATTGTTTCACCCGGGCATTCTGTTTTTGTTTTGTAGCCTAACAGCAGTGGTCAAGTAGTAGGGAAAGTGCCTGGCCATTTCACTCCTGTCTTGGCACCCTCTCCCCATCCCAGTGCAGTGCGACCAGTGACCCTGAGCATGACAGATACTAAACCCATCACTACATCCACTGAAGGTGAGGCAGCTTCACCCACAACAACCAGTAAGTATTTCTGTAGGAAATGAGAAATGTCCATCAAAGACACCATTGGATACCTGATCCAAGGTGGAAAATACACTGTAACTTGTCCGGCTACCCATCCAGATGGAGATTTCTCATTTACGTGGAACTAGCAGGCATGTATATTGCCTGACTTTCTCACGCTCTCTGTTATCAAATATCAACCAGTGCATCATATTTGAAAATAGAGAAGCTTATTTGTTTGAGCAATCAGCTAATGTAAAAAGAAGTCATGCCTGCTTGTTCAAGGTATACATTGCAAATGCACTGAATAACATAATGTAGCATACAAGGTTTTACTAGCACCCAGAGATTAGATTATTGTCCTTATTGATGCACACCTGTAGAAATCAAGCCCCTTCATAAGACAGACTGAATCACTGCCTCACTAAGATAATTGCATGTATGCATTACTGTAGGTTATATCATTGTGAAAAACAGTCACATACTGTTGGATAAAGATGAGAACACTTCAAGGCTTAGTATTTAGGCACATATAAGTAACCTGCATTTTCATTGTCTGCAATTTAATATTTTCTTTTTTCCTTTTATCTATTCTTGTACAGTAGACATTGTGTTTTTATAGCATAGCCATATAATGTTTTTAAATTATTTTGGTTTTGGTGCCAGCCCCAGCAGTGCTCAGGGCTTATTCCTTTCTGGGCTCAGGAATTAGTCCTGGTCGGCTCAGGAGTCTGATCATATGTGATGCTGGCGGTCAAACCTGGGTCAGATGCTTGCAAGGCAAGAGCCTTGGCCTCTTTACTATCCATCTTGCCTCAGCCATAGCATTTAAAAAAAAGATTTAGCAGTGAACTTGAATAGTACATATAAATACCTTAAATAATTTCTCTTATTATTCATATAGAATACTCATAGGTGCAGACAAAATTAATCTTTGTTAGTTTGGGGTTTTGGGGTGTGGGTGTTTGGGCCACATCTGGCTGTGCTCAGGGCATACTCCTAACTCTGCTCAGGGAGGATTGCTGGCAGACTCTGGGAACCATATATGGTGCCAGGGATTGAACTTGTGTTGGCTACATGTAAGACAAACGACTTATCCCCTGTACTATATCTCTGACCCACAAAATTAATTTTTAATTGGCTTCATCCAAACTTTTGGTTTTCTAAAACTGAAACTAGTGTGTACAGATTGGCAAAGTGAAATGGATAATGTTTCAGTCAGGAGAGATTAGCATTCCCATGTCAATTTAACATATGTTTTTAAGTCTACACCTCCTATTTTCTTTTATAGAGCAACCAAATCTCCATGCTCTGGAAATTCTTTACGGGATCACAAAGACCATTGGAGAAGCCATTGGCTTTTTTTTTCTTTAGCCATTGCAATGCTGCTTCCTTTGTTGGTTACATGTGTTGCCTCGAAAGTTAAGAGGACACTATAGGAAAATTGGATTATACTTTGTGCAATGAATTCGGCAGTTTTTCAAATTTCATGAGGCTTATAGACAATTCATCTAAACCAATATTCCTATTAATTAGGATTAACACTTCATAGCTGTTTTATTGTTGAAATATTCTGTACTAGTGAGCACGTCTCTCAGTATATAGTTGGGTAAAAAACAGTCAAGGAAGACTGAAAATGCTTTTGTTCCAAAGGTTAGTTTTGTGCATTAGAGTCACTAAAATACTGTGTCCAAATTTTCAAAGTGATATCTCAGCATCTTTGAGCAAACATGAAGTCAGCAAGTTAAATAAATGCAAATAGAAAACAAAAGGAATATTTAAGGAGTTCAGTGATATCACAAGACAATCAAAACCAAATTTCAGAAACTCTAATACATACCTACTCTTAATAACATTAAGAAATAAGATTCAATGAGTGATCATACCCATAAAATCTCATATAAGCACTCTCAGTCTATGCCTTAATGCATTGTCCTTATACTCACACCAGGCTGACCAGAAAAGGAACTGATTGACTGAAAAAGTAATAAAATATTCAAAGGGAATATTGGTTCAGCAAAAATGGCTTTTCAGACCTTTTCCCATGTCTACATAAAAGAAATATAGTGATTAATTTTTCTTGTTCCTAAACTAAATTGTAACGGCAGCTCCCTAGTCACCACTGATAATGAGAAATTTGCCACTGAATCTATAAACTAATAAAGTTTTTAGAAAACTGTAGAAGCCAAGGTTAGAAATAAAAGTAAAAATAAAGACTTGGTGCTTAGGTATAAGATGGGTCTCTTCTCTAGCTGGGTGTGGAATTTCAGAAACCTGAGACTGACATGGGCACTGGCTGCTTATGGTGGCATGACATGGGCCTTTTGTTCAAAAGAGTTTAAAAGATAAATAGTGACAATCAGTGCTTTTGAAAACTTGATCTAAAATAGCTGAGTGGATCCAGTTTTTCTGTTCTTCAAATGAACATGACAGGATCAATATAATGATTTTTTAAAAAGTTCTTTTAAAATTTGATTTTCAGAGGCTAGTTAGATAGTTCAAAAGACTGAGATACATGCCTGGCAGGCACAAGGTTCTATCCTAGGTATCCCTTACCCCCTTGCCTTCCCACCAGCATCTCTCCTCACCCAGCATCACTAGATAGGGCCCCAGAAACATCCCTGAGCACTGCAGATGTGGCCCTGCTGGCATCTAGCATTCTAGCCAGGAACTGGGAACAAAACCCGAAGCATCAAGCCCATATGTCTGGGCTGAGTATCACAGGGAGTGGTCTCCAAGCACTGCTGCTGAGGCCCCCTCTTCAAATAATAAGAAAGAAATCAATTTCAGATACATGACTTATCTGAGAATCTTAAATCAAAGTTTTCACTTTCTTCAAACATAGAATTTAATATGGTGCTACTTAGTTTTGCTTATTATATCAATAAGGGTAGTGATAAGAAGGTACATTAGTCCTTTCCTGATAAAAGAAAATGTTAATCTTGAGAAATATGGTTCGCTTGGAAAGTTATTCTGTGCCAAAAAGCACTTGCACAAAAAATTTAATGCAATGTGCAACCATAACAGATTTAATGCACTTGCACAAAAAATTTAATGCAATGTGCAACTATAACAGATGAAGTGGTGTTCACTAATATATATGTATGTATATATATATATACATATATATACATATATATATGTCACCTGGTAACCAATGATGCCACCAACTCCCTTTCTGTACTTTTATAAGTATTAGTTTTTCATACATAAGAAATAATCTTTCCACCAAGGAGTTCAGTGATATCACAAGACAATATCAAAGTTAATTTTTAAGAATAATTCATAAGGGACTGGATGATAGCACAGCGGCTAGGGCATTTACCTTGCATGTGGCTGACCCAGGTTCAATTTCCAGTATCCCATGTGGTCCCCTGAACACCACCAGAAGTAATTCCTGAGTGCAGAGCCAGAAGTAACCCCTGAGCATCGCTGGGTGTGACCCCCCCAAACAAGAAAAAAGAGAATAATTCATAATAAAATACTGAGCATTAAATACTTAGCATTTCACATTAAATAACATACCAGTTCATTCTACATGGTATATAGAATTAAATTTACCTTCATTTATTAGGTTTTCTTTTTGGCAAGACTTCTTTAGTCAGAAATTTTTCTTTGCATACCATCAAGCACATCTGCTTAAATATTCACTTTTTCTGGGCAGACTTTCAGTCTACTTGTACAATCCGAATTGCAGAGCTCCACGAGCATTCCATTACTAGACAGCTAATACCTGGTCAAAAGATACAGCTAGGAAAAAGCTCCTTCTCCTTAGCCAGTGCTTGGTACTCCTGCAAGCTGTGACTGGAACACGTAAGTGTCAGACTCTCACACCAAATCACGGGATATGGGTCCCCAAAACAATTTTTGGGGAGGGGGATGAAAGCGTTGATTTAAGATCAAACGCAATTTCTTTTATATCACCTAGTGTTCTCGCAGACAAAAGAGAAGAGAAATAGAGAACCTTCTTTTCGTTTGAAAGTCCCACTTCTCTGGGTTTCTTTGACATGGACAGGTTGTTCATTCTGATAGTTCACAATTTTTATCTTTGTTTTTGTTCTTCCTTAATCAGCCTACACAGCCTCAGGCACATCTCAAGCCAATCGATATGTGGGACTAAGCCCAAGAGACCCATCCTTCCTACATCAGCAACAGGTGGGCAAGTTTCACCCAGGTGTGATGGTGTAGCCACGCTTTTGCATTGGTGCTTTTCTCCATGCTGCCTCTCAGATCTGGACTCAATGGGGCTCAAGGGGCTTCTGAGAAAGAAACTGATCATTTCATTTTCCAAAATATTTTCTCATTTATCCTTGTTTCTTGCCTCTCTGAAATAGGGTTCTTTTAGTCAGTAACAGAGCTTTTCCAAATCTGGACTACGTTGATAGCATCCATGAATAAGCATTTAAGCTGAAGAATATTTTCTCAGTTTGATACCCTGGAATTACTAGCTGGTAGTGTCCAAAGAACCAAAACTGAAAGCTGATTTACAAGCCAATTAGGTAGAAGCAGTACACAATTTGTGTTTTTGAGCTCTTTCATACTTTCCAGATGTTTTACTTCTCGTTTTGGTATTTTAGGCCAAGAAGATGAGTTATGAAGCTAAAATCTCAAGCGACACATCATTCCTATTTTAATAGCTTTAAATTGGTTTACTGATTTCAGATGTGATAAAACACTTTTTTTGGTTCTGCTTTCTTACATCATTTATGTTTCAAGTAGCATTTTAAATTTCACATCTCATTAATGCTGTAAATTTAATGCAAATGAAGTGTTTACCCAAACTGTGAAAATATACAGCCAGGATTAATGGCGGTTTATAAACAAATTAGCCACAGTCAAAAACATGGACCATACTCATACAGAAATCCCATGATTCTAGTTAAAAGGGGACAGAAAGAATTCTAAACACTTTGGAGTTTAAATATATTTTATGATGCCACTGTTTGCTGCTCTCAAGTTTTTATAGTCCAGCAATTTGAAGTTAAAAGTGTCAAAATATTACATAGGGGAAAATAGGCTATCCCGAAGACAGGCATTATCTAAATTGTTCTTCATTTTGTAATATAAGTGGTAGGTGCATTGTGTATGAATTTTTCTATTTTTTTGTAGCTGCTACAATTACTCACTTAGGGTTCTCTTGTTTTTTCTGTTATGTGTACTTCTGTCCACCTAGCTCATGCTTATTTTGCCTGTCTCATGTAGAATTCTCCATTCCTGTCCAGTCACAGCTCAGAATGGAAATCTACATATATTAAAGGTCACATCACATATAGGGTTTAGAGAAATCATAAAGATGATGGCTTATTCAAGATACTTGATGTTTTGCCAGGTCTAAGAAAAGAAAAACAAAACAAAGAGTGAAGACTAATTGAAAACATCTGTACATAGTTATGAAAATACCAAATAATAATTAGTGGTTTTGACAGCCATTGGCTTTTCAGCATAATTCTCTGGAATGTTGCATTTTTTCACCTCTAAAATTGCTATAATATGAAATGTGTTATAATTACTATAATATGGGTCTATTTGACAAACATATATATTTACTGTGTGTTCTAAAAATGTAGGCAGGATTTACAGGTTTAGAAATTCTCTCTTTTAAAAGTATCCCACATATTTTCAGAAATATTTTGTCATGAAATGGCGTCATTCTTTGTGACACATTCCTGATATCCACTTAAACTCTAATTTATAGAAGCATGTCTCATCTATTTAAATCTTTATCCCCCAAACTCACTTATAAATTGCAACCAATTCTGTGTATTTAGAACACCACCAGGTCCTAATGTGTGGCAGTTTTAATTATTTTTATTATGACTAACTACAGCTTATATTTTGAAAGTTACATATTAAATATTTTAGGAAAAATAAACAGCAAATTAATGAAGATATGAATCTAATGTAGAGTTATAAGCACATTATAATTGAAAATATGTATGCACATATACATATGCATATATGTTCCAGCACTGCAAACTTTTAAAATCAGATCACTCGCTATTTAAATAAAAATTATCTAGTGAAAATCACCTACCAGATGAACAGAATTTGTTTAGTCAAGTGTAGTTGCTTATGGAGTATATGCTTTATATCTATCCTTGAAAGAAAAAAATATTAGGCTTAGTGGCCAAAATGTTAAATTTTAAATACTTCATAGATAGAAAAATTGTCATCTCATATATTGAAAAAGTTAGCGTGCTACTTCTTCAATTAAGAAATCCAGTGTATTTAATTCATAAAGGGCTACAATTTGAGGCATGCAAAAATAAATATATATGAATATCATGTGTAATAAGACTAATTAAAAGCTTATTACTTTTATGATTTCAGATAAAATAGAGATGAACTTTTATGTTTACTGTCTAGGAACAGAGGGATAGAAATAGTTTAAATGACTTCAATAGAATAAAGGTTATTCTTTCCTGCAGCAGAAATGAGATTGATTTACTATGTCCTTTCATTACTTTACAAAGATTTAAAAGAGACCACTTTTCTAGCAGCATGTTCTAAATGCCTTTGGTTTAAAGTACTCAGTGATGAATGAAAAGGAAAATCAAGGGGTACATGAAATAAAGGTAATCAATCATTTTATATTAGCTAGGAGAAATTCAAAATTAGAAAGCCAATGGTTTTAGTCCGAGAGTTTTTTTAAAAAACATTCCCCATGGCCTTTAATATACGTGACCCCTTAAGAATAAATATTGTCACCAGGTACATTCTTCAGCTCATTGGCGGCTGCTTTATAAAGATTTATTCTTTTAGGTTATGAAAAGTATTGATGTGTATTGTGTAGTGCAATTTTTTAAAAAGAAAATAACCTTAATAATGCTTACATAAATTAGAGTTAGCAATAAATTTTAAATTGTTGAATAATTTTGACTCTTATAAATAAACTTCACAAAATGAAATTAGAGCAAAGATTTTCACAAAATGACATTAGAGCAAAGATTTTCAAGTAGTCATTTTTAACTCACAGAGATAATGGCATTCTTAAGCTGACATGGAATATATTACAAATGAACACTTTACAAGTGGTTGTAAAAGTAAGACATTTATATTAGCAAATCAGAATACTGAAAGTATATGCTTTTTATACCTATTAACTTGATACATATACAATTTTATTAATAACTCAATATCTTTGTGCTCCTTTCTATATTCATTATCACCAATGACTATTCCAAAATATCTTCTGACTCAGAAATATCACTTCTCTTGAAAAACAAATTCACTTAATCATGAAGACTATCTCAAAAGATTAAGTTAAAACAGCTGAAAACTTTATGCTAAAAATAGTCCTTCTCAGTTAGTTAAAATAATCTGTTCATGCTAGCTGATCAGGAGTCTAAAATTTTACTTTATCTCTTTTTAGATCTTGAATGTTGTTCAAAGGCCTAGAACTAGATTTTCTTTGGGATGATTGACTTCATTAATGCATTCACTGTTGGCAATAGGGGAAGTCTTGAAATCAGAATTTTAATTGGAGTTTTATTCTTCTTTAACTTTTATATTGAAAGATAGCATGGTGGATTAAGAATCCTGGGTCCTTCTCTGGCAAACTGAACTCTTCAATCAGCTGAAAAAATGTTTTCTAATAATTTAGAACAATTTCAGGAGTGTCAAGGATCTCTTCCCTGACAACTTCATTGAAGTTTAGTAAGAGGCAGTATATCCTTTCCTTTCACTTCCTGAGCACATTAGGCATACTCATTGTGATATGCAATGAGCAGACTATATTTCCTGTTTTTGTCTCTCTGGGAAAATGACAACTCAGAGAAGAATACTGGATATTGCTTAGAGAGTCAGAAATTATTTTATAACCTTGGTTAGAAATTTTAATATAATGACTAATATGAGACAGTTTACTTGTACTAGTATTCATTCCTTTTGTGGTCAACATCTCAATGAATTGACTAATTGCAGACCTTTCTTTCTTACCATAGAAAATGTGTTAATATAAGAAAGTTTAGTTCATAATTATCATTATATTAGAATCTTATACCATTATAAAAGTACAAACTATGTACATCCATAGTATTTTTTAAAACCTTTATAGCAAGTTAGAAATAAAAGTTTTTAAAAAAGAAGATTCTTATTTAAAATATCCAAATAAGAAGTTCTAATTTGGAAATAAAAGACAGCTATTCAAACTTGCTATTGAAGTGTATATTAATTTCAGAATTAGATTTGAACATTTAGATGAAACAAATGGGAAGTCACCTTTGCCTTTCTAGGGGACACAGCAAAGCCAAGTGAGCTTACTTTATAATATTTGACTTACTTCCATAATCTTAAAATGATAGTATCCTGAAGAAATATGTTCCTTATAATTAGATCTAATAAGTGAGTGACCTGATCAATGCAGGTCTTCGTATTATTTATCACAGTCGCATGGATTTTATTGTGCTTGAGCTTCAGCATGTTACATCTCTTGCATGACTATTTAACGCTGTTATTTCAGTTTCAATTATAGGACTGCTTTATATCAGTATATTTTCAACACTTTTCTAGATATGATTTTAAAACTAAAGTTGTGCTTCGTTTTTGGCTTTGGGGGCCACACCCAGCAGTGCTCAGAACTTATTCCGGCACTACACTCAGGAATCACAGCTGGCAGTGCTCAGAATCATAGAATCAGAACCTGGGCGGGTATGTGCAAGCCAGGCATCCTAACTGACCGTACTATTGCTCTGACTCTCAAAACTGGAATTTGAGAGTACTTCTCTCAATTACACTGAAATTTTGTTATGCAAATGGCCTTTTTAGGAAATAGCCTCTGTTGGAATTATTTTTTAACTAAGATGATCATTGAAATCCCTAAGTAATATAGGCCCTGGTAAATGGCAAGGCCAAAGCTAGGCACATTAAGACCACTGTGGTAGTCTTTTATAGAAATAAGCAGTGGAAAGGATACAAATAGACTATCAACAAACTTTTCAATCAGGCCAGGAAGCAGGCTATCAACACTTGGGCTGTTCTTATTGTGTCTGTTATCAAAATTGACAGCTTGACGTAAAACCCTATCACATGACTTCAGGGTAGGTATGTAAATGGATAAGAGGTCACTTTTCACATATGCTAGCTGGAAAGGAAACACATTTAAAGGAAGTTTCATTCAAAATAATAGCAATGCAAATGTTTAGCTGTTTGGCTAG